GCAAAATAAAGATATGTTTGGCTTGTAAACAATCGCATAATATACAGTATTCAAATATCCGACGTTTTTAGATATGCCAGTCCCTCAACTAATTCAAAAGGCTTTAGATTTAAATTTATTCAAACTTTGTCTATACACTCGGACAAAAAAATGGAAATTTAAAAAAATGATTTAAATGCAATAAATTGCATAACTCATTATAACATTTAGTAAAAAATATTCATGAATCATTTATCAAAAAACGAAGGTTGATTCTACAAACATTGAACCTATTACGACTGTGACAGCACACGCATATCATAATCATATAATTACCAAATAATATTACCCACAGCCATATAGGTACCTAGTATATGCGTTATCGATAGCAACGGTTTATCTGTTATACTATTGCCTATTGGACTCTGAGTTGCAGAGTAATTTTATAACCGAAGATATGGCTCAATTTTTAAGTATCAAACAAGTTAGTTGTTTAGTGTCGGAAACACAATAAAATTATCGTCATACATTTTACTCCAGTAGTCCAACTATAACTAAATATTACCTCAGTAATTGTTATACAATTTATATACAATTTGTGGTTTTTAAGATGAATATCAAACTTAGGGGTGCCAGCGTCGAGCATTGCACACAAATACGACATTTAGAGTTCTAATGGAAAGGAAATAAGTTTAACGTGTATGTAGTATTTGTTAGTAGGTACTTCATAATGTATTTTTTGATATGAATAATATTTTTTTACTAAACAACTATTAAAAATGTATATTTAAATTATTTAATTAAAAATAAATCACAATAGCCATTAGGTACTTATAACTTGTTATACATCAACAACTAACCGTGATACTGTCATAGATATATAATAGCAGTGGCGTACTCAGGGGTAGGGTTCTAGGGTTCTGACCCCCCTGAAATATCTTCCTTTTACAAAAAAACCTTATTTACCACAATTTCAATACACAGAGTTGATCAATGGTATGTCATTTTTAATAAATATAAAATGAATTGTTAGATAGACAATCAACAAAGATGTCGGTAATTATAGTTTCAGTTTTTTCTTTTTCTAATTTAGAACATTGCTGAACGTCTGCCATAATCGTAGTATGGTGTATCATCGTATCATCGTCCATGGATTATTACCACGTTTATTACGACCCGAAGAGGCTCTATAGATGACTAGGTTAAACACTTGAGTGTTCTAAATATAGACTAACTATAATTTATGATAACCAATTTTAATATAAAAATGGTTTAGCAAAAAATAATGTAAATTATTTACTCATTTAAAACCCTAACCAAACTAAAATCCTGCGTACGCTACTGTATAATAGTGTACTTTAGAAGTTTCAAGTACCCACGAATAATATTATACAAGTAATATAATGACAAATAGTGATTCCAGGTTTTTAATATATAATTTCGTCCAAATTTTAACTTAAACTGACTATAAAAATAAACTATTCTCATGTATTTTTTTTTAGGTTTTTTGGTAACAGAATAAACTACTTACATGGAATCTTGATTTAAATTTTCAATCCTTAGATATAAAAGTTGAACATTTACTGCATTTTTAACTACAAAATAATTATTCAATTTTAAATTTGAGAAATTTTGTCAAAATTCAATCTTTAAATGCTTATAAAAAAAATTGTGAATATGTATTTTTAATATTTTTTAACTGATATTGTAACAATATAATATCAGGAGCCTTGTATTAAATTTTTACACTTTTTGGCCCAATAGATAAAACTTTATTGATATTTATAGAAAAAAAAAACTAAAAAAATTGAAAACATGAAAATGTCCGTAAACGGCTCAAAAAGAGTCAAAATATTTTCAATATTGTATGGAGTATAGGAAATGCTAATATAAACATTCAGTGAAATTTTCATGTATCTACAGTAATTCGTTTTTGAATTACAACAAAATAAGGAAATCGCCACATGAGAAATCGAGTGAATATCCAATGTTGTAAAAATTTGAATTTCAAACGCTCATAAAAATTTAATTTGACTTTCTTATAGAATTTTTTTTTTTTTGATAAATGTAGGAAATCTTATAAGAAATCTTGTATTACATTTTAAAATATTAGATTTAAAAAGAAAAAAATTTACGAATTCTTAACTAAAAATAATTTGCTAATTTTCGTGATTTTTCCATATTTTGTCAGTTTTTGAACTTGAAATGCTTATAAAAAAAAACTGTGACTAAGGATTTTTATATTTTTCATCTGCCCTTGAAAAAATATACAAGGAGCCTTCTATTAAATTTTCAAGCTTTTTTACTCAACAAATAAAGTTTTATTGATAATTTTAGAAAAAAAAACTAAAAAAAAAAGGAAAATGAAAATGTGCCTATACAGTTCAAAATAAATCAAAACATTTTGAAAATGTTATCGTGCATAGAAAATGCAAATACAAAAAATCAGTGAAAATTTCATGTATCTACGGTCATTTGTTTTAAAGTTACACCAAAAAACCAAATTCAATTTTGCGTAAAAATTCCTGTTTTTCCTTAATTTTTTTTTGTTTTTCTTGGCGCTTTTGAAAATTACTAGGAATTTTAAATGTTGACCTCTCAAATGCACCAACGATATTCACTTTCCAATCGAACAAGATATTAAAGTTGAAAATCGAAGCATTATTTCGACTACTTATCGTGTACACAGACACAAATAAATAAAAAAAAATAAAAAAAAAAACACATCATTGTAAAATTAATACATTCATTGTTCCACTCAGAATCTAAAAACTAGAATACCTAACTATTTTAGTTTTTTTGTTGTGATTGTATAATATTATTCGTGGGTACTTGAAACTTCGAAAGTACACTATTATAATATATCTATGATAGTACCTATCAGGTTTTGTTGTTGATGTAGAATGCTTTATAAGTACCTAATGATCATTGTGATATGATTAATTTGGAATTTATTATAGGTAAATTTTTTTTAATACCATAGATATGTATATAAACCTAGACTGACATACCGTCTCATCTCAGAATCGTTTTTCTTATACAATGGTATTATATCATTGTATTCAAATATAATATCATCCATTTTACAGTGACCGACTTGTAACCTACTATACAGCAGAGGACCTTTTTTTATCATATATTTGAGGTTTTAAATGACATATTACAGTGGTTAGATGAATGGGAAAATAATGTTATTAATGGACAAATTAATAAAGATGAATTTTTAACTAGTAGTACTGCCAACAGTTTAAGCATAACATTAAGCTCTACAATTGGCTTAACCCAATACCTATTAGAAGATATTTCTTTTTCTTTTGTTTCACATAAATTGCTTTGAGTATTTGATGAAGAAAGAATAGTGCAGGCATGATTATGCTTGCATATATTTAATTTAATTATGTAATCACTACATTCACAAGTATAATAATGAATGGACATATTACACTTGCGACAAACCAATCAACAGTCTTCAGTTGTTACACACATCTGTAGAATGGATTACTTCATATGTTATGTTTGTTTCTTTAGCAGATATCTCCCATTGATCATCACCAATTACTTTAATAGTTTAGGATTTATTTGTACTCCAATATTATGGCTCTTAATAATAATTTCTTCTTTACCAGTATATTTATTTTTTAATCCCTCAAAAAATTTTGTTTTTAGTGAATTTCAAAAGCGCATATATACAGGTATCTAAACGCTTATTTTTCTTAAAATGTAAATAATAATATTTCAAGCACGTATGCACTGACTCAAAATACACGTTTGTATTAATACTACAGTTTCTTCAGTGACAGTATGCCCCACAGATTAACTCTATTCAAGTAATAACTATTGAAATATTCACCAAATTGAATAGTATCATCGTCATTCATTATTTCAGCCATAAATCCATTTAGAAGTTTGGTAAATATATTTTAATTTGGCTCTTGATGCATCACTCTTAATGATTTATAAACTAAGCACTTCTTTTCAGGAGTTCTTATTTTTGACTGAATATTTCTTCTCCAAGATTGATCCACATGCCATGTACACAAAAGTCAATGCTCTACAGGTAACATTATTTGTTCCCTAGCGTTGTAGTCCTAGCGTTGTAGTATGATGAGTCGTCATCACTCATAACAATTTGGGTACTAACTAATAATAATTACAATTTTACTGTTAAGCCGTTGAAAAAATATTTACCACGTCGCTGCATCAGATTTTTTTTATATACAATATGCACATGGAAATCCGTTTCTAAATTTGTCTTCTTTTATAACTAAAATATTTATTACACACCATGCACTTCAGCTCTTCCATGTTACTGGATACAAATTATTCCATATTAATATATATTTTATATATTTTAATTCAAAGTATATATTAACCACAAAGCATAACACCTAAATGTGTATGAAACACTTGTATGAATGATGATTATTATATTATCACATTATAATTTTTATTAAGGACGATAAGAAACGTGATTTTCACAAATAGTGATAACAAATGTGAAGGATTCTGATTGGTCGCACAATTTTGCCACCGAGACGCTCGTCAGATAAGACTGTTTTGTTTACTATTTTGTAATATTTTGTGTAACGCCATTCCCCGTAATATTTTATTTCGATGTTAAGTTATGATCATATCCCCCTATTCATAACCTCTGTTAATTGTTATGTTTGTACAATAATAAGTTCGTTTAGTGCCCGTGCATTACCTTTTATATCGGTGTTATATTATTATTATTCGCTTTACAGTTTTTAAGTACCCACTCCTATCACACACATAGATCAATTGAGCGTGGAAACACACGTCGCGAGTGTCGTGTGGGCAAGCTAGCTATATTACTCCAGTCTTCAATAGCTCCGCGGCGGTGCGCTTACAGTGTTGGTAAGTACTAGCAGATGATCTTGATAATTACCTACTATAGTTCTATTTTATAATATAAATTATATGAAACTTGTTTTAAATGTAAAGCAGCGTAAATCTTAATTCTTTTAATAAGTACAAGAGAGTTTGTATGTACCATTGCCATGGAAAATCGTTGTTCTGTTTTGGGATGTTTGAATACTTCTGATGATGGAGTTCGATTACATAAGTATATATTCTTGCTTATACCTAGTTGAATGATTTAATAAAAATAAATGAAACATTATTGTGTATTGTATTGTAGATTCCCATTTGATGATGAGATGTTATTGCCCATTTGGATAATGGCGACAAATCGTTCAAATTGGTCACCAATTGACGAAAGTAGGATATGTGACGATCACTTTGATATGGCTGATTATGAAGCTGGCAATAAGGGCAATAGGCTCATACCAGATGCTTGTCCCATAATCCTTCCGACAACTACAGTCATTAATGTAAGTAAATGTAATGAAGTATAAATATAGTATGTATGTTATGAATCATGAAAAATGCTTAAGTTTATATATTTGGGTGTATAGGATATTCAGGGCCGTCCCTAGGACATTGCGAATTTGCGAGCAGGGCATTAAACCCGGGCCTCGCACCTTCGCCATAGTGGACAGGCTCCGCTTTTATAGATACAATTTAAAAAAGTCAAGTTAATGAGCAAAAAAAAAAATGTATTACTTATATATTTTTATACATTCAATTTTGTAATTTTTACTACCTAAACCTACTTAAATTAATTTAGGTCAAATAAAAGTAGGTATCACATTTAAACAAGTTAATATGATTAAAATTCAATTTTGAAAGTTGAAAATTATAAAAATAACTATCTTCAAAGCTCTCTATCCCAAAAAAAAGCACCAACTTCGCTATAATATCTAAAGAAAAAAAATGCTGACAAACTTAAATTTATATTTAAATTTTTATTGACAAATTTGCTAATTTATAATATGTTAGATTCTGAGCGGAGTGAAAAAATCTATTGATTTTACAATAATTTTTTTTTTCTGTTTTGTAAGCCACATTTTGGGTAGTGCTTCGATTTTCGAGATCGGCAACTTTACTGATATAAAAGTGAAAATAATTGGTATTTTTAGGAAGTCAAAATTAAAATTCAAGTAGTTTTAGAAATTGTCAAGAAGAGGTTACTACTATACAAAACCAATTATGAAAAAATTAATTTTATTTTTTTGGTCTAATTCAAAAATGAATAACTGTAGGACCTTGAAATTTTCAACAAATATTTATATTAGCACTTTCCTTAAAACATTTTCTCAATATTTTGACTATTTTAGAGAAAGTTATGGCCTTGGAAATTTTTCTATTTTTCTAAAAATTGTTTGAAATTATCTTCGATAAAATTTTGTTCATTTAGTATAAAATCTTGAAAATGTAATGCTAGATTACTTATAATTTTCATTAATGGAAGTTTAAAAATACATAGACTCAATTATTTTTTATATGCTAATAAAGTTCAAATTTTGACAAAATTCATCAACATTTCAAAAATTTTCAAACTATATTAGAAATTCATTAAGTTTTTCTTTCCTAGCTAACGCTGGAAATGTTGATAGAAGATTCCCCACAAATGTTCCTACCTCAAACAAAAAAAAAAATGTCTACCGAAGAGTAACATTATTTTTTTACGGGCGTTTGAATTTGAGTTTACGTTATTTGATTTTCTTTGGTAAATTAACATATTTTAATCCACCAATTTTTGATTTATTGTTGTAACTCAAAAACATAAGCTATAGACACTTTAAATTTTCACCAAATGTTAAAATTATCATTAATTCCATATTACCATCAACACATGGTAATATTTTCAAACAATTTTGACTCTTTTTGAGCTATTTATAGCCATAAGAATTTTTTAAAATATAAATTATTTTAAATTAGAAAAGTTTTTCTTTTCATAGCTAAGATTAAAAATGTTAATAGAAGATTTCCAACAAGCAAATATCTCTATCAAACTGAAAAAGTTCACCGGAATGGCACACTATTTACACCAAAGAGATATTTTCGATCATTGTTATTTTTTTTTAAACTATTAAATTTGATTATTTATAAGAGTGTACTAAGCTGATACAATGTCTCCGCTCAGAAAATTTTTTGTATACAATGATTTATCAATGTAATTTAAATACAACACATCTATAACAACGACATGCTTGACATCTACTGTATAGCAGAGCGGTACCCACTTATCCACATTTTATTTATATTGTATTAGGTACCTACTATATTTACAGACTTATCAATTTATCAATATTATTATATTGAGTTAAAATATATGACGTGTTCTGTTATTAATTTATTTACTTATTCATATTGTTGTAACTACAAGGTACTATATTTTTAAGCATATTTGCGCGTTCCTCTCTTATACCTAGGTATATATCATAATATTAAATATATTCAACTGCCAACTGATGATAATGACTTTTTAGGTCCCGCAATATTACTCTGCTCCAGGCCCTGCAAATTTTCAGGAAGGCCCTGAAAATATTACACATGGAAATATATTACCAGATTCTGAAGACAGGGAATATTCGTCTACAAGCGATATTAATTCTGACGATTTAATTGATACACCAAATACTAGTGATATGAAATCCAGTGATGATGAGTCAACTCTTAGTGTATCATCTTATAGTAATTTTAGTGTAAGACTATTTTATTCTAATTTATAATTTTGCGTTATTAAGTTGTACAATTTTTTTTTAGAATTTGAATGAATCTACTGGATTTGATGATGATTTTCTATCATCACTTTCAGACGCTGAATTTGATCTTGAAAATAGAGAATCAATGATAGAATTAGACTCTGTATCATTGTCTTCATCTGTAACAAGTCTTGTAAATGTTGTTTTAGTTATTTTATTATTTTAAGTAAATATTTAATAATATTTTAAATGTTTAGACAAACCAGCCTATAAACCAAGAATGTGCGGTTGTATTATGCAATCAAAATGCAAGAAACCAGTTTGATACCTTATTTTTCATTAACTTTCCAAAGGATAATAAAACACTTTGTGAAACCTGGTGGACAATGTGTGGGCGCAAAGACAAATTTGATCCTTTGTCAAAAATATGCTCAATTCATTTTGATCCTGAAGATTTTACATCTATCACTATACGACGAAACGGTCAACTTTTTAGACAAACTATTTTGAAGAATAATAATATTGTACCAACACTTTATCTACTGTCCGATCATTATACAAAGTTTGCAAGAAAACGAAAAAGAAGTATGAATGATAGTTATAGTTAGTTTAGTTAAATTTGAGGTTAACATAAATTTATATTGTTGATAATAATTTGGAAAAAATATAATTGCAGGTATAAAACGTAATATAACAGAATTTGAATACTGTATTATTCCATGCTGTGACAAGACATTTTTGAAAGATGGAAAAAAGACATTGTTTTTTAAGTAAAGTAGTTGTGTTTATTACTTACAAAATTAAAAATGTATATGTATTTTATTTAAAGCCGTGAAATGGTAGTAATAGTATTTAATGATTGACACAAAATACCAATATAAAAAATATAATTGTACATTTTCATTTGGGTGGTTATTATTAATTAAAAATTTAATATTTCTACATATTACATATTGGTACAAATTTAACCATATGTTTATCATCATATATTCATTATTAATCTTTCATTGTTAGACAAATTATACACCATGCAACAGAAAGAAGTGACAAATAAAATAAGTGTCGTTCTAATGAATATTTTTCATTTTAATTTATATGTACAATTTATTAAAATGTTCTCTACATTTATAATATAAGACTTTTATACATTTTTTAATAACTAAATAAAAAATCTGATTTAAAATTTTTGAAAAATTCTAAATAGTTAATTTTTAAATCTAGTTTTTCAAAAACTTGATACTTAAAACATTTATCTAAGTCAAGTGGCTTATTTTTTATGATTTTCAAAATTTCAAAATATTTAAAAATTACTAATTTGTTTAAAAAGTCAATACTTTTTTAAAAATAAATTAAATTTTAACAAGTAAATATTAAAGAATTCTCATAAAATATTTTTAAAATGTTTATACTTTAAAATGTTTTTTTACGACTGGATCAATTTAATTTAACAAAAATAATGAGACTTGTAAAAAATATACAACATTACTTAAATAAATGTTTAAACAATAAACAATTTTCTAAAAAATATTACATGAGCTTAAGTTTATTTTATTTTCAACATTAAAGAATTAAAATTAAAAAAATTAATATTGATTAGAACAGAAGTTAATTTCATTTATCAGGTCTTCTGGTTACACTCTGTACATAGTAACAATAAAAAAAATACAATATTATGTCTCTAAACCTAATTTTTGTATATCCCTTTTGGCATAAATTATATAAACTATTGTTATGTGACTATATTCATACCCGCGAAAAAAATTGATATAAATAACACGTTTTATTGAAAAAGGTCCAGATTTGCTTAATGGATTTTTTCCTTCCTTATTTTTGGTTGGGTTATATTTAATCAAATATTATATTGTTAATTTTATATTTTGATATTACACTTAGATTTCCATTAGAAAACAAAGATATGCTTAAAAAATGGGTAGATAGTATTGGATTAACTAATTGGCAGCCAACAGATACAGATCGAATTTGCTCTGATCATTTTGAAAATGATGATGTTTTAATGACTAATGATATTTATGGTCTAAATAATGATGCTATCCCATCAATTAAGCCACAAGTATGTATACGATTATAAGGTAACAACAATTTCATAGGTCATTTAATTATCACAAATGTTTTTATATTTTGTAGAATTCATTTGAAATAAGTTCTGAAAACAATTCTGATGGAAAACATGCATCCCCCATTAACAGAAGATATGTTGATATTATGTTTAATAATTTAGAATTCAGGCATTTAGAAAATAACGCATTGTTAGTTAAAGATAACATAAGGGACAAAATGAATGAAAGTTTATTGTTAAATTCATTGAAAAATGATGTAGTTGACCAAGAACCAGAAAATCACCAACAAACATTTAATACATGCGTGGCCCAATCTAGTTCAACAAAAATAAATGACAATAAAGGTAATTAAAATTTAAAATTATGCATATTAATAATCATATTTATCAATTCTGAATTCTGAATTCAATTATTATAGTATACACCATGTCAATTAGATAGAAAAATCACTAGTTTTGCGCAGTAGATACGCATCTCCTTCAACTCCGGCCTATATTGTAGTTCTCCACTTTTCATTGGTTGATTTTGTTTTTTTTTCTATGTTATAAATGTATGTATATGATTGACAGCCAATAAGAAGTGGAGAACTACGATAAAGGCGAAGTAAAGAGCGGAGGATGGGTATTAAAATACTGTGATGATACCTATCTAATAATTTGGTATACACAATTCCAGTGTTGGGTAGGTTACTTTTAAAAAGTAACTAAGTTACTTTACTCATTACTTAGAGATAAATGTAATTAAGTTACTTTACTCATTACTTAGAGATAAATGGAATTAAGTTACTTTACTCATTACTCTAATAAAATTATAATGAAATTACTTTACTTTTCAAATAAAAAAGTAACTTATTACTTTCCCGTTACAAAAAATGTCATGGCAGTTATCATTCTGCAGACAATAATGTAACTAAAAATACATTACCTATTTTAAAAAGGTATAATTTTAAAAATATGTACAGTTAATACATAATTATATAACAATAGGAATTACTAATATGATAGTGAAGAATATTAAAAAAAAGTACTAATTAATTGTATATACTTATCAATGGTGATAATTTATTATAAGTATAGTTAAGTATATTATGTATTTATGTCACAAAATCACAACATAAACCTTAGATGTGTGAAAATAAAATCATAATACATATAGAACGCCATAAGAACTTATTAAATTATAAAAATAAACTGTTAATAAATGCAAAAATATGGCTATAATTATTTATAGCAGTAAAATGTAAATATTTTGATTTTATTCACTTTTCAAAAATAATGTTATATTCTAATGCAAATTCTAAATATAGTAAAAAGTAATAACTAATAAGTATTTTAAAAATGAACAGTTTTTGTACAACACTAATTAATTATTTATAAAACCTGCATAGTTAATAGGAGCGTATAAAACTTGATAGTCCAAGCATCTAATTCATAGGAAACGTTCTGCGAAGGTACCTAGTACTTCCTGCCTATTTAGAAGAGTAAAATTAAATAATAAATTTAATTAAGGGGACGTTACAGTGACTTTGTTGTCTCCGTCTTATAAGTGCGTAACATAGCAAATTTTACTCTCAGCAAAACACGTTTATCTCCCGTTAGTTTAAAAATTAGAGCAAATTGACCTTTTATTCAATTTAAAGGCAAGATTATTATCATCAGGTTATGACATAGGCTTTTTATTACATTTTAATTTTAAAGCGAATTATGAGTATTTTAAGATGTACAAACAGTTTTCAATTTTAAAATACACATAGTACTATACAAAATACTATAACTCGCTTTAAAATTAAAATGTAATAAAAAGCCTATGTCTTTGTCTAGATAATAATCTGGCCCTTAAATTGTATAAGAGGTCAATTCGCTCTAACTTTTAAACTAACGGGAGATAAACGTGTTTTGCTGAGAGTAAAATTTGCTATGTTAAGCACTTGTAAGACAGAGAAAACAAATGTAACTGTAACTGTTCTCGTGATTTACGGTGCAATACGACATGTCAAATGTCAAAACCATTGAAAATTGATATGTGGAGGGTTAAAATTAAATGTATATAAATATTAGAATGGTAAACATAATATAATACCCGCATTATTGACAAAGATTTTTTTTCAATTCGCAATAGGTAGGTTCAAATAATTCAAAACTGTAACATGTTATTTTATAGATATTACTTATCAAAAGTAATTTCCATTACATTTTTGTTACTTGGAAATAATTCTAATGAAATTACTTAACGCTTTACAAGCAAAGTAACTCGATACTTTCGTTATGTTACTACCCAACACTGCACTATACACTTAATTGAACAATAAAACTAAATGCAAGTTATTTACTAATTTATTGTATTTTAGGCATACGCATTTTTAATAATAACATTGCTTTTTCTCATTTTTAAAATCTTGTAACATCTTGGCATTCTATTATAGTTTATTTAATAGTCTGAAGCCGAATGCTTTTATAAACATTTTCTACTTTTAAAGTATAAATATTAAATATCAAATATGACACAAATTTTTTTTTTTTTATTGATAACCATTTAAATATTTAAGTTAATGTGAGTAAAGTAGCGCTCTACACATTTTTTAAGGGATACTTCACTCCTTTAGTCAAAACTTTAAATGCTTAATGTGAAAAATAATTAAACTATTGGTTCAGTATTCAATATTTATAGATCAACATGGAAAAAAAAGTATTCTGCTACATACTATAACATTTTAAGAGGATTTTATACTGACTTATTAGTTGTCTCTGTCTTACTAGTGCGGAGCATAGCAAATTTTAAGTTCAGAAAATCACGTTTGGCTCAGTTTAAAAATTACAGTGAATTGACCTCTTATAATATTTAAAGGTGAGATTATTATATAAGCAATATCAGAGGCTTTTTATTATATTTTAACTAGTAGAGCTATGAGTAATATTAAATTATTTGAATTTTTAATTAATTAAAATTGTAAATTGTTTGTATGTCTTAAAATACTCATAGCTCTACTAGTTGAAATATAATAAAAAGCCACTGACAATGTCTAGATAATAATCTTACCTTCAAATTTTATATTTCTTTGTAATTTTTACTGAGCTAATCGTGATTTTCTGAACTAAAAATTTGTTATGTAGTACTCCCGTTAACTTGGGGAGATAGCGTCATAGGTCTATGTGGTCGGGTAGCTCAGTGGTAGAGCAATCGCCCGGCAAGCGAGAGACTCGGGTTCGATTCCCGGTCCGGCGGCTAGATTTTTGACGTTATTTCCCCTGGAGAAGTTAACACTTGTAAGACGGAGACAATAAATGTTGGTGTAACATTCTCTAAAATAAAGATTTCATTTAAAATTTAAATAAATTATTGTGTTTCGACAATTAAATTTAAGGGCACTAAAATATAAAGTCAATCGGGTAGTATAAAATGTTATGAATAATTATTTGTATTATGTATTCAAATAAGAGTTTCAAAAAAAAAGTTTTTGAAAATATTGAATACTTATTGATATATTGAATGTTTATTTTTAAAAGAATTGACGCTTTTATATTAAAAATAATTCATTGTTAATAAAAATAAATGCATAATTTTTCAGAAAAATGTATTAAATCAAATTATGGAGATAATATTGATACTTTTAATGATGATACTAACATTCGAGGGCCTAAACATAAAAGTATAGAGAGTTTAATAGACAAATGTATAAAACCATATGATGAAGAAATCACGAAAGGTATTACTGGTATATTTAAGTTTTTCTTAAATCATTTTTAATGTAAATTATATAGTTTATAGAGCTTATCTATAAGTTATACATTAAAATATAAATTATAATGACAAAATTTTACCCCAAGAACTGAAAATTACTTATGTAAAATGTTTATATTTAATTATTTAAGAGATATGCATGGAACTAAAAATTACTTAATCATTAACATACAAAGCTTACAATTATTATTTCAGACATTTTCTTATGCCTCAATTCCAAAATAATTTGAATGTTTCATCCTTACCAACAGCAGATTTTTATAAAATATAATTTAATAATTATTTATTAAGTGTTAACAGATGGATGTAATCAGACTAAATTAGTATCCAAACCAGATGAAAAGACCATAAATGAAAATAATTTGAAAAATATACATACCGATACTTCAAATATCACTACTATATCAAAAAATATATCTATTTCAAAAGTAGTTCAGAAATTGCATAACGAATCAATTGAAAAAAATATTTCAGAAGGTAATTAATTTACAACCAACTTTTGTTTTTCCTTAAAATACTGATTTTATTCATTCAAATATGGTGTATTAATATTCATGTTCTTGAAAAAAAAAGTTTGACTTTTTAAAATAGTAAAACATTTTCTTATGTTTCTATATTTTATTGTTTTTTTTTTCAAAATTAAGTCAATAATTTCTTCATAAATTATTTTCACTGTAATAGAAAAAAAGTTGATACCAAAATCAAGAAATAATGGAAATGACCGTGATTATGTATACTTAGACATGTTGGATGGTGATGATGCTAAAAATGTGTTGTCATTTGGAAAAAAAAGAATTTCAAAGAATTCCAAAACAAAAATTCTGGAACTATTAGAAAAAAATCATACTGATGGTAAGAATAGTTTACTTTTAAACCTATAGGCTTTGATTTCCAACATTTTCTGGGTACACTTAGTTGATATCTTAAAGGGTCAAAAGTAAAAACCTATCAATAACTTTTTTAAATAACCAGAAGAATTTAAAAAAAAAAAATTTAAAAACTTAGCATTTGTATGCAAATCCAGTATTCAGTGTAATGCAAGAACAAATATAACCTTAGATATTTTAAATTCTCTCCAAATTTATATTACCACTTTCTATACATGTTAAAATTTTAAAAATAGTTAAAGGTTACTGAAAAGTTATTCATATATAAATTAAAAAATATCTTAATTACTTATCCACAGTATTTTCTTACAAGTGTTGAAATTCGAATTTATACGAAATTTGTCAAAATCTCACAAATTTGAAAATCTACTTGTAGTTAAAAATTCATACAATTTTGAATAATCACTAAGGGTTTTTTAAACCTTATATTAGAAAATGTATGACAAGGTTACAAGGATAAGTTGTAGGTGGAAGGGATTATAAAAAAGTTTAGTGTAATCCCACAAATATATAATATGAGCTCTTAAGTTTAAATGTTGATTAAATTTGATATTCACACCTAAAATGATTTATTATCAAACAATTTTCTTGATATGTTATAATTCAAAACGAATAACTTTAGATTATATAAAAGGTAATATTAGCAATATTATATATTTTAAAAAGTATTCAGCTAATGATACAAACTTTGGTTTATCAAATAAAAATCTACATGTTTAAATGCAAATTTTGAATCATAAGATTTTTTAAAAAATTTTAACAAAAAGTTTCTGAGTCATTTTATTTTAAATGTTATATTCTATTCCAAATAAGTTTGGAAAAAATCCCAACGAAAAATTGATGTGGTAACAAAAAATGTGCATTAACTTTTAACTTAACTGAGTTACCTTATAATTAAACTAACTTTTAACTTTTTGTTATTGGTGCATATTAACATAACTTGAGTTAAAAAAAATCATGAACTTGCCTAGCCTTGGTATAATGCTAATTGTGATATTGTTTTTACTATGCTCAATAAAAAAATTTATTCATATGGATATATTTTTAATGTTTGTTATTTTTCTAGGAATTCCAGAATCTATAATAAATAATCAAGACTTAACAGAATGCTATGGTGAAATGCTTTCAGCTTCTTGCGACCCGGACTGTCAATTAATATGTTATTATTCTATGCCTGGCCCCGACCGAAGACAAATTTATAAAGAATTTCAGATGTTGAATGCGCCTGAACAGAACTGTAAAATAGCTCAATTAGTACAATTGCGTATCTCTAAAAAAGAAGATAGCACTTTTGAAAGCTGTCCGACATACTATTTTATTTGGAAGAAGGCGCCTGTAAAAGTCTGCCGAACTTTTTTTATGAACACATTAGGTATTCCTGATAACCGTCTTGATGCCATTCTGAAACCAGTAAATTACAGTTGGTATTCTGATAAAGATAATGCCTTAAAAGCTAATCAACCAAGACAATTAAATACTATTAGTGAGCCGGTTGTCATGACAGATTTTATGAAAGAATCTTTAATACCGTTGGAAAAGGATTACAATTCATATGAGCCTGATAGTGACCCAGAAGTTAGTTTAGAAAATGTGCCTTTTAAAGAATATCAAAACGTATTACTATACATTAAAAGTATTCCTAGGGTTTTGAGTTCATATCAAATTCCTGGAAAAAAACAATGCTTTGAAACCAGTATTTGTTTGGATTATATGTACAAAGCATATTCTGAAAATTTTATTAAGAACAAGACTCCCCCACCATATACAAAACGTCAGTTTAAAAAAATTTACAACCAGTACATGAAGACGTTTTTAAAAATGGTTTAAATTTGCATCCTTTTTTTATTGTTTGGTATGAACTTATAGAATATGTTGATACTTTCAGAAATTATCCTAATTCAAATTATGAATGTAGCATACTATATATTATCATCCATATAATCCTATTTTTGAAAAATAACCCTACTATTTTTTTTTTTTTTTTATTATTATTTTTATACTTATTATTTACTGTTTAGTATCTTAAGAGATCTCTTATTGTCTAATTATAAATTAATATTAATCATTGTGTATACATAATAAACATTGGTTGGTAAAAAAAAAAAATTGATGTATTGTATAATTATTATTAATATATTTGATTAAGAGGTCATTATAACCCATATGTGTTGTCTTTGTCATACTAAAGCATAATATAAAAATGTCATCTTTAAAATAATCAATTTTACTTTGTAATTTTTAAAATTATAGTGAATTCATTAATTATCAAACATAATGGTAAGAATATTTTTCATGACCACACAGAGGCTTTTTAGATATTTTAATTTTGAAGTAAGTAAAATGCTCATAACTTGCTTTAAAATAAAAATATTAAAAAACCCTAAATGGTGCCATAAATATAAGCATTAATTATAAATACTAGTATTATAGTATTTATAATCAATGATATAAGTATTGCCTTTAGAACGAAAATAGGTCAATTAACTCTTATATTGAAAATAACAAAATTATATAGATTATTCTAAATGTAAATTTTGCTATGTTGTGCATTTATAATATGGAAACAACACATGTAATTAAATTACAATATTTTTATAATTTGTTATATTATACTTAACACAAAAACTAAAATGTTAATCGACATAACTGAAAAATGATTCAGATTCCGTTTTTTAATAATATAATATGTGGTATTTTTCAAACTAAAAATATAATTGTTTAGCTGATATAATTTTAGAAACATATTTTTATAATATAATATGTGGTATTGTCAAACAAAAAATATAATATTAGCTGATATAATTTTAGAAACATATTTTTATAATCATTACCATAAGTAAGTACTTTTATGTACTTCTGAATCAATAACAAAATATGTATGTATACAATTACAAAGATTATAATAATAAATTATTAATGAATGTTGTTATTTATTGTTATTATGAATTTTAGGACATTTTTTTTATTGAATATTAATGGATTATTTATGAATTATGATAGGGGTTTGGTCAAAATAAAAACCTTCTATTAAAAAGATTGTACCATGTTACTTGCAGCACTATTTATACATAAACTATATGTTTGAATTGCAATATTATAAAGACTATGAACTGTCATATGATTGTTACCCCTTTAATTAAACAATCAGTCTTTAGCCAAAGAACATATTATTTTTATAAAAAGGCAATTTTTGAAAAATAGTGACTTCACCTAACTTAAATAAATGATTCAAATTAGTAATTACCTAAATATATATTTATTGTTATGGTGTTATTGTTTATTAATGTTTGATTACTGTTTCATAAATAGTTCTTACTGCTACCAAGGTCGATAGTTTGATCTTCAATACTATTGAGTACAGTACTGTCAATATTTATTTATTATTAATTAATTCATTATTATTAATTTTACAAAATTAAATATGCTAATAGTTAGGTAACAATAATTTTAATAATTATTAAAACACATAATATTAAATATAATATAATTTTAGACTAAATAAGATAAGGTGCTCATTGGCCAAACAATAATTTATATGGCATTATCGACTAGAACTACACTGTTAATAAAATTATAATATAAACTACTTTACACAGTTGTACATCTACGATAATCTTAGCTAGCCAGTTCGTCCATCTTATATACTCGCAGTCGCTGCTCCCATCATCCAGACCAGATGTCGATCGCGCTCTCGGACCGCCGGAAGGAGTAAAGAACACTGCGGTCCTTGTGACTTATACTAGAGGAACCCACCCGGCACCCACCAATAATTTGTATATAATTAAAATTATAACTTATTATAATTTAATTAATATTGGTGTCATCTCTATATATTATTTTACAATAAACATCAATACATCAGGTGGATATTTTTGTTTTCAAATGTTGAATTGTGCGTTTCTCAGTTTTTTACAGCATATGTGGAGTTTGTGAGGGGAATTACGGGGCCTAGTCCCCCAAAATATTTGAAGTTAAAGCCCCCTAAAAAATAGAAAATAAGCAATATTTAACTTTAGTACAGATTACATAATTGTGTATGGGTAATTTTTTGATTATTATTTAGTAGATACTACTATACTAGATACTAATAAAAAAAAAATTTTATTATCGTTATAATTCAAAAACTAATAACTGCAGACACTTTAAATGTATATCATTTTCAAAATATTTTGACTATTTTAATCAACAAAAATTTACAATTTAAAATTTTTTTAGTTTTTTTTCTATAAATATCAATAAAATGTTATTTGTTTGGTAAAAAGGCGTGTAAAATGAATGCAAGGCTCATGATATATTGGTAGGTACTATAACAGTTCTTGAATATTTTGATGTAGGTAGGTACCTACCTATCCAAATCAAAATTCTAATAAATAGTTACTAAATTATTAAAATGTTTATACTTATAGGTACTAAAGATAATCCTTAAATAATATGGTTTTATAATATATAGATAATATATAAACTATATGTAATATTAGATGTACTAGGTATTTAGTATACTTAGATCATCTTTACAAATTATTTATATTGATAGATCAATAGTGATTACTACACTCAAATCATCTAAGACCCAAGTCCACTTAACATATTTCCATAGAGTAATAATAGATGTATTATCCTATTGTACACAAAGTTATATATCTCAAAAAGTACTAGTTCAAAGTTTGATTTCAGATAGGTACATAAAAATTCTCAAATAAAACATCTAGGTACTGAATAATTAAAAGTGAAAAAGGGTGATTCTCCTTTTGATAACAGAATTTTTTAATTATCGGCATCATCCTTATACATGGTACAAAAAATCTCAAGTAGGTATTCGAAAATCTTCAATTGTATTTAAAAATTTCAAAAATCAGAATTTGAATATACATATGTATAATTTAAGCATAAAAATAGTGTGAGCATGTTTAAAAAATCATCCTGTATTATATTAACGCGAAGCCTGAAGCAGGTAATCATTTCACGTTTGTTTAATAATAAACTATGAAACTATAGAAAAGTTTGAAACTATACAAATATATAATAAATTATTATTATTAATTACACAGAAATGAAATTACGAAAGCCACAATTATACTTCTATTATAGAATTTTAACTTTGAAGACAAATTCATAAGCTCTATACGAATAATATTATTTAAGTAAACTTTCAAAAGTATGCATTATTTGAAAGGTCGTTGAATCCAACAGCGGGCCCGCTGCAGGGACGGCAAGTAAGGCCTCGTTCGAGCATATTATTGTTTTCAAGAAGAGGGAATCTGCAATACCTACAGCAATCAATCCAAAAAAAAACCTCCTCCTACTTGTTACTTTTAACACTAATTGTACTATTATGCCCTGCTCACACTATAAGATTAAGTACGGACGTACTGCTAAATATTTCGATTAATACTTCACGGAGTTTCAATAATCGTATAGAGTACCTACCTATATATACCTACTCTCTATATATACCTACCATTAACACACCACAAAAGATTTAAAAAATAAAAAAAATTTGTTTTGTAGTGACTTAAAATGATTTAAATTAAACATTACAAAAAAATGTTAGTGTTTTGAGTTTTCTGAAATAATGCATTATAACTTACTTGGTGTCTTACGTTTAATGGATCCCACCGTATAGTATTAGCATTAGTATGATATTGTTCTGTGGTATGACGCTAAAGGTATACGTATGTCATATACCTATGTATACTTACACCGAGTTACGCTAGGAACTTTATTGACACATATGGCTACATGGTATAGTACATGTAAATATGTAATAATAATATTATCTATTGCTATAACAATTAGTAAAAACTAAAATACCGGTAGTAAAATTATAACGATAACCATTATTCGATATATCTAAAAAGTAGAGATATACCTATGTCAAAGTATGTATTATAGTGCATGCCAATATTATGTTTTGATAATAAAAGTACGTAGGTATTTAATAAGGCAAGCGTGTTGCACATTTACATTGTTCGTTGTTAGAACGTATTGTCTTAAACTCTTGAGACGTTTTCACATTATTAGTTATAACTTATCCTTGATGTTTTTCGTAAAAAATTTTAGCATAAAGATTAGAAGTATAATGTATAAATACCGATTGGCGATTGGTGATATCCACCTACTTGTTTTAAACCGTTTACGTTCTTAGACCAGACGTCTACACCTGTTAGGTACGCCGGTAACGGTAAGTATAGGTACCTACCTACCTAACTATATGTCATTGTACATATTATAATTTATACATATAAAATATGATATAATAGTATATAGGTATGAATTATAATATTACATTATGTGTGGTTTTTAATTTTTATAATTATCTGTGAGGGGGTATCTTCCGAATGTCTGATTTGAATTTCAGATTCTGAGTGAAACGATGAATGTATTGATTTTACAATGTTGTGTGTTTTTTTTTATTTTTTATTTTTTTTGTGTCTGTCATCACGTTTTAGGACAGTAAAAGTGCTTGGTTTTTCTTCATCAGTAGCTTTTCTGATAGGAAAGTGAATCTAGTTGGTACTTTGGGGGGTCAAAAGTATAAATTTCCCAGTAGTTTTCACAAGCGCCGGGAAAAACAACATAAAAATTAAGGAAAAACGGGAATTTTTACGCAAAATTGGTTTTCCAAAAAATCGATTTTGGTTATTGGTGTAACTCTAAAACAAATGAACGTATATACATGAAATTTTCACTGGTTGTTTATATTTGCATTTTCTATACACTATAACATTTTCAAAATATTTTGATTTATTTTGAACTGTTTAGGGACATTTTCATTTTCCATTTTTTTTTAGTTTTTTTTCTAAAAATATCAATTAAATTTTATTTGT